TCTTAAAATTTGCGTAAATGAATATATATATATATATATATATGTAACAGACTGACAAGGTGTGCCCTGCTTTGATCACCTCACTTGTAACAAAGGTGTATTTAGCTTAAGTTGCAAATTGCATCTATTCGCAATCAGTGCATATAAATCTAAGTAACAAAGTAATTGAGCTCTCGGCACGGATGTTAACTTCAGATGTGACTCTATCTGGCTGCACCAGTCGCGGGATGATCTCTGTTTTTTAGTTCACGCTTTGGTAGCTCTATAGAAGGCAAGGATTATTGTGAAATAAAACAAACTGGTCTAAACGACCAACTTCATATAAACCCTTATCTTTCTCTTGCCAAATGTTCAGCTGTTTGATGACTTTTAAACGTAGATCATTGAAACGATTACCATTTGTTAATTTTCATTTTCAGCATCGCTTCGGTCTGAGTGGAGCAGTTGTGGAAGACTGGCAAATAGTCAAAAATTACTGACCTGATACTGTGCTCACATAAGTGCACAGTTTCGGGACACACCCGTTAACCACCAGAACAGACTTACGCTATCAAGTTGCTTTTTTTCTCTGTATTCCTCGCCATTTGTTGGCCGGCCTTACTAAAGTACAATACCGCATTTTGATACACGCATCCGAGATGACAGAAAATACGCTTATAGATGAAACCGTGTTGATGTCCAACCTCAACATCTGTTCACATTGTTCTTTGGCAGTTTAGTTACCTCGGTGAAATTCGAACGCCTCTACGCGTTTTGTACAGAGCACACTCTAACAGCTGAGCTCAATCTCAACATGAATCCTCAATTTCATCCACTAACCGCATCGCCTTATGGCCTCCACCAAAGTGGGTCTATTTCGCCAAGTGAAACGTAACGTCCAAAATCTATCTTCAGGCGCTCCTGGTAATCCCCGCACAAGTTTTATTTTTTCAGTGATTTAGATAAGTCTCATTCTAATTTATGATTTAGCGATTCATTGGCAATAAACAAATCGGGACGATTGGTTTCCAATGTAATAAAGTAATAACCAGTTAGTAATAAACGACCAAGGGTATTATCGTGAATCATGTTGCAGTTATTCGTACAATTTGATAATCAATTATAGGCGGTTTGTTCTTGACACACACCTAATTCATGAGTCAAATCATGCTGTGATCTAAATATTAGGTATTTTATGGTGTAAATCCGTTCATTTGCTTTTTCAACGGAGTTTCCATACTTCAGCAGTTGACTGACAGGCACTTACATCGAATCAGAAAAACAGCTAACCCTCTCACAGAGGAGATTGTATAGAGAAAAAAAACAGAACAAGCATTATTCAAATAAAATCGTAGAAATATTTTGTGTATAAAAATACAAAACAAAAGGAATTTGTGTCCTACATCTGTGTGTGCATGTGTGTCCGATAGATCACACGGTTACACTGAGATGTTAATCACTTTCTCATCGTACAAATCGTCACACGCATCAGACGCCATTTGCGTTGTTTGCACAAGCGTCATACTAGATACGGGCACGATGTAAGCAGTACAATCATCCATGAATATGCACGGCTGTGCGCTGGCGATGTGTATTCTGGCCGGTGTACACCGCTGGCGGTCTGTGCAACATCGCTGTAGGTTTCTTACACAATCGGACTGACTGAGGTCTCCATCAGCCGGTCGGGGATAGGCACGATCAGGGTGAGACTGCTCTCCTGCCGGTTCCGCATAATGATACGTCGACTGCGGTTTGGCGTTTTGCCACGTGTGACTCATCATCGTCAGGTCCGGGTCGAGGACAGAATGTGGTTTCTTTGCTGGTTGCGCAATCAAATGTTTCGGCATTGTCCCTATGCCCAAGTGGGAATGTGATTTAGAACAGGCATGTTGTCGGTCTGGCAGAAACTCCACGTGTTTCGACTTGGAACGATCCGGCGGTTCGTCACCGACGCGGCTCGGGTGTTTGTGATTTGTCGATTCGCTGGTTGCGGAATCGCGTGTGCAGCAAAATGCGCAGCCACACACATCACAATCCCATGGACCGCATTTCTCGGTTCGGGATTGACTATATTCTGTTTGGTGGTGTTGATGGTGCAAATTCTGTGCTCGGGCATAGCGTCGTTTCCACAAAGCGCAAATCACACCCTGAATACCGATCATGGTTAACAATCCGAGGATGCCTGGAATGAACAGAAGACGATAACGAGTCCACGTGGACTGATTACGATCGTGCCCGATTGAACGAGTGGAATCGGCTTGCTCGGATTCAGCCGGCAAATGAGTTAATTCAGCTTCATCCTGAGATGATTTTGCAGCTGAAATAGGATAATGAAAAAAATGGTGGTTTAGCGAGGAACATCGATATCGAAACGTGAGAGGAAATAAGTTCACAATCTGGTAACTTATTGCTAAAAAGTTCCGGAAGCCGGCTTTATATTGGAGAGCGAACATTAACGCTCTGTCGATGTGTCCATGCACCGCGGGTTGATGGTCTACAGCTACCTCCCCGATTGCATCATCACCCATATGCTTTTGCTGACCAACGTATCAGTCACTGTTGAAAACGTCAAAGCACAATTATTGGCTTTGCCAAAAATGCAACCCCAAGGGCGAAGAACATAAACCGGAAATACCTGATTCGTTTGGAGAATCACACATTCGAACCGCTAGTCATTCTGTTCCAACGAATGTTCGACGAAACAACACTCTCACAAGGAGTAATTTTGCTTCAATAGAAAGGTGGTGGTCGTAATGACCCTGCCAACTACCGACCTGTAACCCTGTTTCCAGCGTTATCGAAAGTCATGGAGTCCATTGTAACGGACTGTTTGATGGAACACCTCGAAAAATACAACATTCTTTCGACAGCTCAACAGAGGCTCAGGCAACAGCAATCCTGCTTTATTAACCTATTTCTCGTTCAAGATGAATGAACCAGTACAGTTGACGAAGGGGATGCGGTGGATGTTATTTATCTCGACTTCGCGAAAGCATTTGATCGAGTGAATAACAATTTTGATGCAGAAGCTCTACAGTTTTGACGTTCGAGATTTCGCATTTGAGTGGATGAAAGCGTTCCTCGATCAACGAACCATATCAGTTCGTGTTTCTGATTCTATATCCGGATCTATCAAAGCCACCCGTTGTGTTCCACAAGAGTTCGTACTCGGTTCCCGGCTGTTTCTCGCCTTCGTTAATGATCTACCGAAAGTGTTAGGCTCAAAAACAATACTGTTTGCAGATGGCGCCANATCTGGAACATGGTAACAGAACAAGAGGGCTCTCAAACACTTCAGGAGTCACTCAACGCAGCTTATCAATGATCTAAGGAGAACGACATTGAATTTAATGTTTCTAAATGCAAAGTCCTATCCCTACGCCACAAGCGGAAATTCTCGTATTTCCTCGGGGATCAGCAGCTACCACACACTTCTAGCGAAAAGGATTTAGGTATTGTTGTTGAGGAGGATTTAAGCTGCTCCAACAACTGTGCTAAAGCTTTGTCTGCTGCTATGAAGAATGTCGGCTTACTTCGGCGAGTCTTTGGCCGGTTTGAATCATCACTATTCCCACGTTTGCTATCAACGTGCATTCGACCCTACACAGACTACGCCGTCTAAGCTTGGAGTCAATGGCTTCAACGTGATCGCAAGATGCTTGAGCATCTACAAAGGATGGCCACCAAGATGGTCAAAAGATTGAATTACCTGACATATGAGGAGAGATTACAACCATTGGGACTATATTCTGCTCAGTACCGCCAAATTCGGGGGGACTTACTTTTAACGTATCAAATACTGCAGAACCCAAACCATCCATGTCGGCCGCTGCTCACGTTGTCGAACAGTGTATACCTTAGGGGACAACGTTTAAAGTTCCTGATTCCCAAGTGTGGACTGGATTGCCGGCACCAATATTTTTGCAGTCAGAGTATGCATTACTTGGAACATCGTTCCATCTCACGTCGTTCTTCAAATTCATTCGATCCATGAAGATTTGAACTTAGGCATGGGATGTTGTAACGCACAACAGGTAAGCATTTGGAATATTTATTATGGCGTAAAACAGTTAGTATCATGTGGTTTACCCTATAGAAAATGAAAACCTAACTGATACGTCGCGGCAAAGTTTTGCTAAATACCAGTTTAGCCTATGAAAGCTTCAGCTTGCCTGAGATTTACCTGCGACTTCTNCGACTTCTGAGGTTTGAAACTTGCTTATGAGATCAGAACCTTTTTAAAGCTGGAACAAAACTTTGCTTGACAAAATCAAATTCGGGATCAAAACACAGTTCCATATTTTTGGTACAAAACAGGGTCTTAAATTATAAATGTCAGTCAGACTATAAATTATTTGCTCATAAATTGAAATGCGGTTAGCCGGACTGAAACGCATGACGGAATCGGGCCACACGCTGGAACCTGACACTTTGGTTTCAATCCATGGAAAATGCATATCAAACCGGACGAGAATGAACGAACACAGAGCAAACGACGGGTTCATTGTTCTGTCTGCCACAATTTGAATTTGTACCACAGCTTTTTGCGTGATTTGGGTATAAATCTGAGAGTTTCTCTTTCCTGGGGTTCACGTGAACATAAGAGAATCTAATGAGAACGACTGGTTTTATCGACCTGAGCGGTTAGTAGTTTACTGCATTCTGGAAAGAGGACTCGCACAGTCCCCCCTTCCTAGGAACGGGGAAGTTTATTGCTGTGAAAAATATGATAAAGCTGAATAAAATATGGAAAACTGGCCTAAAAATCCCTGGTTCAAATTCAAGACAGAACAAAGGATACAAAAAGGATATGAGAAACAAGTGATCACAAGATGGGAGAAAATGTTCTTTTTCCGGAATGCGGATTCACCACCTTGCGTACCCGGAAGAAATTCATGCAAACACTTAACCAACCCTGGTCCACTTCATTCTCTCTACAACACCAACGTGTGCAACCACTTGAACTTCTCTAACTGTAATCAATTTCACACAAGCACACATGCGCACACAGGTTTAGAGTCGAATCCAAACCCTGAAAGATCGGAATTTCTCATACGTTTTTGCTCTTGTTGTTAGTCATATTTATTATTATGTAATGTTATGATTATAAATAACTGGAAACGAGCATATTCGTCACGTCATCGTTGTTCCCAAGATTATGGATATTGGAAGAATTTTTTTAGATCCCGTTTATATAACTTGATGAAGTAATCGAAATGTAGAAGTCCGCCCGGCAAACGTTTCTAACGTTTCTAACTTTAAATGATCCTTTTTGGTTGTTTAATATTTGTCAGTGAGACGCTGTCATTTGCGGCAAATAAAATCAGCAACATGAGATGGAATCAGGTAGATGCATAAATCCACTTACCACTGCTCAAGACGTAAGTGTAGACCGCGAGTTTCAGGTGTTGTTGCAGGCAATATTCCGGTTGACCTGTAACGGTTACAAGGTAAATCTAGACGAGGATTGGTAATGGGTGCACTAGCCGCATGAATTTGCATATATCATTTTTTTTTAATTAAACACAAACCGGAATAGGGAACTTGGAATGCAGCTTGCTAGTTCAGATGGTTGCTATCGTGATAATAATCTCACTTGGGAAAGCTTCACAGTTACAAGTACAATGGCGTTGAATAAATTCTATGATTTGATAGAAAAAGTATCTGAATTTTAACATACTGAATGGCGTGCGATTGCGGGACGGGAGCTATCCAAACTAGCTGTACCTGTTTTCTCTCTTCCCGTGATGAAAAGAATACAAGACAGGTAGGAGTCAAAGTAAGCTTTATGCACCCGAAGAATGAATTCTCAGCGATTTTTTACAACAATACAATGGAATTGACGGCATCAGAGTGTGAATCAATTGAATAAAAAAGACAGCACACTGCAAGCATGAAGACGCTAGTAATAGATTAAAATGAATAAATCAACTAGTTCATGAGGTAATCAATCAAACATGTATCAATTGGTGCCCTATTTACTGAAAAGCGAACAAGAAAAGAGAGGATGCTATTTCTCGATGTGACGGTGCTTGCGGGAAGGAGCTTATATTGGGAGCGGGTATGAGGTTTTGACATGGATTTCATAAGTTCATTGTGCAAACAGTAATCTTCATTGTTCAAGATTGTGTGGACTATGCTTTTACATGCTTCGATATGTTCGCGCACAATAAAATCAATCAGGACATCTCTGGCTTGGCCATTAAATCGGGATAGGAGTCGCTTTTTGTGCCTCACAATGGAATGGTGAACTGATTCGTGTTTTTTGTTTTGTGTTTCTCTAGACGATTTCACTGATAACAGAGTAACTGTGCTTTTCCGACGTTCTGTCCCATACACCACGTCTGATAATCACCCAGAACTGAGATTACAGTTACGCTGTGACGAAAGGTGAGATAACCAACCCAGAGTGTGTTTGCTTCTAATACCAAGAAGTAAATCTGCAACATCAAATCGTGTCATAGCTTAATGTTACGTAGACAAGGTGATAGAAAATTCTGAAACTTTGGTCGTCTTGTCAAACCAAGTCAAGACAAGTCAAAGTGAGCTTTATGTACTCAGAGAGTGAATTCTCAGCGATTTTTCACAATAATACAATGGAATTGAGGACTGATGGCATCAGTGCGCGATTAGAATAAATAAAAAGCGACAGCAAACTTCAAGGAGGAGAACGCTGGTGATAGATTAAAACAGAAAATAAATCAACTAATTATTGAGGTGTTCAATCAAACCTGTAATATTTGGTGCCCTATTCACTGAAAACCGAGCAAGAAATGTGAGGATGCTATTTCTCGATGTCACGGTACATGCAGGAAAGAGCCAATATTGGGAGCGGGAATGGGAGTTTGACATGGATTTAATAAGTTCGTTGTGCAAGCAGTAGTCTTCATGGTTCAAGTTTCTGCGGACTATTCTTTCAAATGATTCGCCTAATTTGCACATAATAAAGTCAATCAGGACAACACTGGCTATGATATTCCATCGGAATAGGAGTTTTATGGATCTGGAAATTAACACAAGATCTTTTTTCTTTAAAGCCAGAAAAAAAAACTGAGGAGCAGTACAAGCAATGGGGGAGGTTGCATGCTACGAAGAATTTGAAAATTACGTTTTGGGGGAAAGCAAGCTTCCTAAGCCCGAACGCATAAAAGGAGGTTTACGAACTTTGTTTTAAACGTTCGCTACATGTCCGATCCAAGAAAGATTGTGAGATAGAACGACTTTAAGGTGCTTAACAGGGTCAGCTTTGGGAATGTTGTGACTGTTAACTACTAGATCCGGTAAATCATCATACTCACCACTAGCCGGATTAGTATC